CTCTTCAATACTAATTAAAGAATTGTAAACTCAGCAAGGTTAAATGACTTGCTAAAAGTTACACAAATTGGTATTGCCCAGTAAGACTGCAACAGAGTGGGACTGGACCCTGAGTCTGCCCTTCCACCTGGGCTGAGGGAGCAGTTGAGTGTTCCACTAGCTAGAGGAATGGGGAAGATTCCATGTTACTAGCCAAATGCAATCCATGAAGAAAACAGCAAAAAGTTGGTTTAGACTAGGTGTATATGAAGAGAAGAAAGAGTCTAGAAATAACAAATAATTGTACTTAAAAAGCCCAAACAGATGATCAGCCCAAGGGCAGAGGGATTAGGCTGTGTGACAGACATCTGTCCATGATGAGAAGTGAAAGAATATGGCAGGAACCCTCTCAAGGGACTGGAGTGTTCAGGGGTTTGCTAAAACAGGAAGTCAAGCCCAGAGGAACAAGGTCACAGCCAAGGATTAAAACTAAACCCAGAGGAATAAGGTCACAGTCAAGGATTAAAACTTGAAAGAAAAAAAAAAAAACCAGGGTGTTTGAGGAGTTCTGGGCTTGATCTGTGACTAGGTCGAGATGATTAGACTTTGATCAAGCTGGCAAGAGCACCTTCAATCAGACTTTTCCCAGCAGTTTTCCTCAACTTCCATTCCCCATTCTTGTTCAATCACTTCTCCTGAATTTCCTTGTGGATTTATACAACAATCTGGCCTACATTTGAAGCTTTTCATACATCTGCTAAAGAAAACATTCGAGTTACCAGGAAATGTAACTAAAACCACACATAACTCATGCTTTCTGCATTATCAGAGACAGAGAATGCTGGAATTTCAAATCACTGTAAGTAGTAAAGCAAATACCAGATACCCACTGCCAGTCTGTGTGCCCGGGGGGGTAGGAACAGAGGGGCACAAGTAAGCACTCCTAGAATGAGAAAGTCTGAGGCCTTGTGGCCAACACTGCACACAGGAGGACATGTGGCCGGCACTGCATGCAGGCAGACATGCCGCAGATCCAGTCTCCCCTGTAGGACTGTAGGAGCCCAGTGACTGTCTCAGAGAGGCAGTGTGCCTAGGGAAAAAGAGGAATGGTGTGGAGATGTAGTGGTGGAGGGGAAAAGGAAGAAGGGGAATTTCAAAATGCTATAGAAATAAAAGAGAATGTAAGACCAATATAATATATATAATTTGGAATCATGGGGAAACCACATTGAGCAGGAAATCCACTAAGTCACAGACTAAGTCTGGCAAAAGGTTTTTGATTGTTGTGGAAGACAAAGCTGAACACAAAGATCCACTATTACATGTACTCAAATGCTCTAATTGCATCCTCTGGGTATATTGACTTTAGTAGCACACTTATTTAAAGTGGGAAAAGACCTGTGTTGTAATATCTATAATTCCTAGTAGTGATGCCTACGTTTTCTTCCCCAACCATCATCCGTTAAATAGGCAAAACCAAGGGTGGGGAAAAGGGAAGAAGAATCTGTGTGAACATGACATGTCCTGGCCAAGTAGAAAGAATGCAACTAAGAAAAGGGTAGGAAAAAGAAGAGAAGGGAGAAAGTTAATTGTGCTTAGGGCCTTTGAGATAGTCAAGGACACGATTTTAACTAGGTTACAAATAAAGGAAGAGGGAAAAAGTGATTATGACTCTATTAAAAAAACCTGCAAGAGGCAGCCAGGAACAGAGCAGGAAAGGAAAGGACCCTTCCCTGAGTATATAACTTTTAGTATAATTTTGACTTCTAGTATCATGTTACTCTTTTATGTATTCAAAAAACTAAAATGAAATCAAGAAGACAGGAAATTAAATGTGAATGCTATCAGAAACAAATGAACCAAACTGAATTTCAGATGAATTACATAACCACACTGAAAGGGAGAGAGGGAGGGAGAGGAAGAACCAATTGAGTAACTTTTGAACACAATATTTTTACTATTTAACTTTGTTCTAAAGAAAACACAAATTGTGTACTCTTCTCAGTACTGTTTTCTGTCCTGTGACAATTTTGTATACATGGCAGAATTGAACAAATGGTGAGATTGAACAAATGAGTCAATAAAATGATGTTAGAAGCCTGTGTTCTCACTGTATATAAAGGAAGATACCATTCTAAAAGGAGAAGGCAAGGAAGAATTTGGTGGGGTTGGGGAGGGGATACGTATATATGCATGCATGTATGTGGGGGGCAGAGAGAGAGAAATCCTTCCACTAAAAGGGACTAGATACAATGACCCCATCAGCAACTGGCACGTGTTAAAACCCAGATCTTGGTTTTTAAATATCATTCCCCGACTAAAAGGAAGTAGGATTCCTTGGAGAAATGGCCGGTTTCAGGGATGGGACAAAGAAAAAAGCAGGATGGGCCTGGAACATCTTTCTATGCCAAAACAAGAGAGTTTTGTTGTTGTTGTTTTAAATTATGTATACATGTCAAAATGATAGACACCAACTTAAAAGGACTCATCTGCCAAAGCTAGGGCAATTTGAGCATCAAAATTAATACTGATAGTTATTATTTATAATCCTTTCAGTAATATAAGAATCCATGTATACATACTGATAAATACATAGGAAAACCACTTCTTATGATAGAAAGTAAACTTGTATGAATATAGATAGAATGGTAGAGTTAGAAATCACCATTAGCACCATTTGTGATCATTGATTCAGGCAACCATCAAGGGCTTCTAAAATAAGTAGCAGTAGCATAGTTTCAATCTCAAAGTGTCTCCGTACAAATTACTTATTACTTGCATCAGAAAATATAATAATTTTATAGTGGAGAGATTTGGCAGATTCCAACGTTAAGCAAGTGATGAAATTTCACGTATCCAGCCAACAGGGTACAGGGCATCATGTGACTGAAGCAACTCACTGAGAAGGGCCCAGCTGCACTTCTGTGCTCTTCCCACCAAATGAGCATGAGGGAGCTCCAGACAAACCCAGATGAAGGGACGTTCTGCCAAATAACTGGCCTCTACTCAGAAAGGAAGGAGGGGAAAGAAAGGAAAGAAAAGGAAGGGGAAGATTAGAAGGAAGCCAATGTAAAAAGACAAAGGAACTATTCCAGATTAAAGGATACCAGATGAATGACAATGCTGATTGATGTGATGCATGATATGAGTAGAATTGTGGACTGGGAAAAAATTTGCTATAAAGGACATTATTAGAACAACTGATGAAATTGGAATGAGTGTAAATCAGGTTGTGGTACTGTATTGTACTTCCTGAAATTGACACATATACTGTGGTTGTGTAAGAGAATATTCTTGTTATTTGGACATACACATGGAAGTGTTTAGAAATAAATGGTGTCATGTCATGTCTGCAACTTACTCTCAAAGTGCAGAAAAAAATGGACAGAAAAAGAGAATGATGTAGCAGATGTGGCAAAATGTTAACAATTTGTGAATCTGAGGAAAGGAATTGTGGGAGTTCTTTATGCTAGTCTTGCAATTTGTTTTTTATTGATATGTAATATTTTATATATTTATGAGATATATTAATAGAATGTGTGATGATCAAGTCCGGGTATTCGAAGTATTCATCACTTTGAGTTTTTGTCATTTATATATGTTGGGAACAATTCAAGTCCTCTCTTCTAGTTACTTTGAAATATACAATACGTTGTTGTTAACTTAGATACTCTTCTCTGTGTTGAGCGATATAACTTATACTTTTTAACTAACTGTATGTTTGTACTCTTTAAGTTTCCTGTCTTTATTCCCTCTCCCTCCTACTCACTCTTCCCAGCCTCTAGTATCTATCGTTCTACTCTCTACATTTATGAGATTAGCTTTTTAAGCTCCCACATGTAAGAGAGAACAGTGATATTTGTCTTTTTGTGCCTGGCTTATTTCATTGAATTAATGACCTTCAGTTTCGTCCATGTTGTTACAAATGACAGGAGTTCATTTTTTATGGCTGAATAGTATTCCGTTGTGTATATATATTTAAAAATCATTAATCCATTGATGGAAGTTTGAAATTATTTCCAAATAAAAAGCTTTCTAAAACAAATGGGGAGAAACTATGAAGGAAATATTTTGATCTGTGTATCACCTAAAAATCATTCCATACTTTTGAAAATACTGATTTGGAGCTCCATGCCCCCACTTCATATCTCGAGGGCATTTTAGTGAAGAAGTAGGTAGAGTGACGTTTGCTTGGGAATTGGGATAAGTAGTCATTGCCACAGCCCTAAGAAGAGTTAACTTGTACAGTTCAGGATTCAGACAGGAGCCCATAGAGGCTACAGTGGAAGCACAGGGGCTGCAGTGGTCACAGAGGTGGAGGACCATTCTCGTACCACCATTTCATGCTCCTTCTTAGACCTAATATTCTTATTCTGATTACCTTTTTTCTCCCTGTCTCTTCTGCATAGTAACCATATTCATAATTCATGTTCCCACATGGCTCTGAGCAGCATGAAGGCAATATTTTTTTTAAAAGATGGGGCGGGGAAAGAGATGTTTAAGTATAGTTTAAATCTTATATTTCTCATTATCTTCTTATGTTCAAAAGTCATTGATTAACAATGAAAATAACACATTTAGTTTGCATTTGAAATTATGCTTTCATAGCTTTACCTGAGATTCTTTTCTGTGGCCTAAACAAATATTAGACTGTGAGTCTGTGACAGGTCTTAATGAAGTGGATTAAGGCATTTCTTACATTTACGTTTTCATAGAATGAAATAAACATTGTAATTTTTTTTACGGAACACTCACATCAAGCCATGATTTGATTTTCTACCTGTTCAGAATATCAAGTTTTGCATTGCTCTAAATTGTAATGTGTTTTTTGTGAGCAGGTCGATAAGACAGAAGTCATCCCTGAGATATTTATAATCGTACTTAGAGCAAACTTGTCAAAGGTACTTCTAAAAGATTGTTTTGGATCCTGAGGAGATATATTTAGTAACTGTATTAAATAAGTTGTCATATAACACAACATTTCATTGATTTATTTATGATATTTTTGTATCTTACTGCAGGCAGAGAATTCAGCATTGGCTTTGGAAAATGAAAATCAAAGGGAACAGTATGAGAGATGTCTTGATGAGGTAAGGGCAATGGAGAGGCTCATGTAAAGGGGTGGACTCATTAGGCTTCCCTTAATCAGATCTGTGTGTTACCAATCTCCATAGGATATTAGCATTTTTACCTCCAAAGGAAAGTTGTAAACATGTAGCCGTTGATAAGAAAGAATCAGAGTGTCTGTGTGTGTGTGTGTGTGTGTGTGTGTGTACAAGCACGCACACATGCGTGTCTTCTTCCCTCCCTAATTACTTGTACAAGCAGCTGTATATTGTAGCTATTGTTTAGGATTCTTGTACCATGTGAATTGGGGTATGCTTCACTGTATGATAAATTCCTTCTGTCCAATAAGCACGATCCCTTCCCATGAATGAGAAAAGCCATGTCGGGGCATGCTGCTTCTTTAATTGGATGCCATTTCTGAAAAAGCAAATCCTTGATAGAGTGGGTGGGGATGATGTTCACAGTTGGCAGCCAGAGGGAAAAATCAGTAGATTGAGAACAAACCAAAAAGTGAAAGGGAAGTGAGGAAGAAAATTTGAAAAGAATGAAGACAAGGTCTCACACACGAGTAAACTTGATAAATATTATTTGATGATAATAAAGAGATGAGGGCAAGGATTGTGGCTGTTGGAGAGTTTCTGGGAGGCAAGGAGAAAACTGTAGGGCATGTAGGGTCCCCATCTTCCCCCTTGGTTGCTCCCCTCACATCATCATGGACCACACAACCATTCAACCTGTATCTTCCGGCAGGATTGGCCATTTACCTCCTGGACTAGTTGTCACCTGGGACCTGTCAGTGACTGGAGTTATTTAAAGGGGATAACTTCTTTAGTCATCTGTCCAACACCCTAAAACTTGTTCATGCTCTGGGAGATTCTATTTGAGATTTGTTATAATGTACCTGATGCTGATTTTAAGGGGGGAAAAAAACCTGTATTTAAGTTCTGGTACTTAACCAGTAAGGATTGCCAGTATATCTTCAGACTTTTTCTCCCTAAACCATTAGAGAAAACTTTAACGACAAATTCCTATTTATTTATGTATTTATTTATTTATTTTTGAGACAGGGTCTCATTCTGTTGTCCAGGATAGAGTTCAATGATACAGTAATAGCTTACTGCAGCCCCCACCTCCTGGGCTTAAGGGATCCTCCCACCTTAGCCTCCAGAGTAGCTGGAACTACAGGTGTTTGTCACCATGTTTGGCTAATTATTATTATTATTATTATCATTTTATAGAGAATGGGTCTTACTATGTTGCCCAGGTTGATCTTGAACTCCTGGCCTCTAAGCGATCCTCGCACCTCAGCCCCCAAAGTGTTGGGATTACAGGTGTGAGCCACTGTGCCCAGCTACCTCTTGATATTTCTTACCTTCTCTATCCCCTTCTTCTCCCATGTACTATTCCTGAAGTTAATGGAGTAGGCTATAAAAAAGTGCAGACTCAAATCCCAGCTATGACACAATACCACCACTGTAGAACTCTTTTGTTCCTTCAAACTAGGAGTAGTCTCTCTCCTTTGAGTCCTGAGAGCACTTGGTGTTTTCCTGCACCATTTGTTCTTAAAATGTGATCCTGGACCAGCAACATCAGCCTCTCATAGGATCTTATTAGAAATGTAGAGTCCTACTGCATACTACAGAATCAAAGACTTGGTTGGGGACCAGTGATCTGTGTGTCAGTAAGCTCTCCAAATGATGCTAGTACACGTTTCAGTTTGAGTTCCTGTACTTAACACAAGCCACTTTGTATTAGTTACTTATATGTGGTTGAAGAACTCTTAAAATGTCCCCAGAAAATTATTTAATTGTTTAATATTGGATATTTTAATTGTTTAATATTCCCAGACTCATACATTGGTTACTCAAGCAAAATGGTGTTTGCAATTCTCTGACCTGTCAGGACCTAAACAGATCAGAATAATCTTTACAATGTTCAAAGTTTAAAAGAATCACTAAAGTTAGTTGACTCTGACATGGCTCCGAGTCTAGTGAGATCAGTTCAGCAGCCCTGACCCCTGGTCCTTAAGTTTTTGGTCCAATCAAAGTTTAGGGCAAAGAAGACCAAATAAATCCAGGGATATTTAAAGGAATACACAGTGCCCTTGGGTCATATGTATTGATCAGCAAAGTTTCACTTTAACCTCCTGCACAGAAATTTCTGATGAGACTTTATCTGTATTTAGAAGTCAAATTTATGTGATTCACACCACAGAAACTTCTTATTTGTCACAATTCTCTGACAGGTCACCTCCTCTGTGAATCAGAAAGTCACATTTCTTTATGGAAACTCAGTCTGTGTTCTGTGGGCTCCATGCCTGTATTCTGTAGCTTTCATCAGAATGTGTGGGATAAAACGTACATTTTCACCCACAAAATCAGTTCATAAAGTTTCTACTGAAGAAAGTTTTTTAGAGAGAGCGCGAGTTCCTCTGTTTTTAATTTCAAAAATTAAACTGTTGCCAAAGGGGTGATTTGCAGCAAAGAACCACCTCTGAGCAACACAAATGTTTTGTATTCATGAATACTGACCCCTGATTACACATGCCAGTTGTTTTGTAACTAATTGCATGAGGGTAGATAATCCATTTGCATGCATTGTAAGAGAACACTCTCAAAGGGGCAGTTGAATGTAGTAATAATGCCAACTGGAAATTCTTTTCAAGGCTTTTTATACTAATTAGACAAACTAACAAGGTAAAGCCTCATGTAAGTTATTTCCTTTCTAGTGGGCTTCATAAAGCATACACAAGTGGATAAAATGTAAATTTGAAATGTTCTTCAGTCTGTTTTGAACCAGTGGTTATTTTCTGGGAAATGAATAACAGTAAGAATTTGTGGGAAACACTCGAGAATCTGAAATTCCCTCTGTTCCAATAAAAGGGTACAGTTATTCAGGCAACAGATTCACATTCCAAGATGCGCGCGCATGTGTGTGTGTATGCACACACACCCTGGCTTGCTAAGCATGCACATGTACACACATAAACACACACACCCTGGCTTGCTAGGCATGCACATACACAAGTGAACACACACACACTTCGCCATCAACTCTACTGTTCCCTGTCTTATCTCCTTGCTTTACAGTACAAAGACAAAACCCAGGCAAAACCAAGCATTAATCTTGTTTTTCCTTGGGAGTTTGGAGGTTTACGTGTTTGAGTCTAGTTTCTTAATCTAGCTGTTTGACAGGCAGCTTCCTGGCAAGAAGTGAATTGCTGTTTATTCACAGTATTGCCTTGGCTACAAATCTCTCATACCAACTCTTCCCATGTAAAGAAGTATAACAACACATGTAAAATTCAGAAAACAGCATCTAAAACCCCTGCATTGCTCTTAGATGGATTCAACTAAGTCTCACAAACTTTTACAGGGCATTAGCCTCACCTCGGCCCTGAGAACTCATGGTGCTTCCAGCCTGGCAGGAAAAGTGAGGGGAGGGATAGTCACAGGGTCATGAGGTGAGAGAAACTCACAGAGCTGCACAGGGAACAGTTGTGCAGTCACCAGAGGACACAAAGAAGAGGGCAGGAGATGGGTGAGCAGAGAGGGGAGCAGAATTGGAAAGGGTATTTCAGCAGAAGGAGCTGGAGCAGGTGAGGTTTGAGATAGAAACAGGCAAGTGCCCCTCATCCTTACCTACTCAGTGAACTTACTGGAGCCTTTAAAAATATTACTGGTGGGGTCACACCAAACAGATTCTGATATGATTCTGGTCTGGGGTGAAGCTCGGGCTTTCCAATTTTTTGAAGTACCCCAGGGGGTTGTAACATTCAGCCAGGGTTAGGAGCCACTACAATTATGTTCTCAGTGCTGTGCTTTAGAAAGCATTTTCAGAAATTTTCAGTAGGAGAATGAAAGCTCCCTCTGCCAGGCTTAGATACAGTGACAGAAGAGCACAGACCCATGTGAAATATTGAGGCTACTTTGCATTCCTCAACAATATCTGAGATAATACAAAGCTACAGGCAAAAAAATAAACCATATCCTAGTGTTTGTCGAACTGTGTTCCTGGAAGCCCTCTGCATTAGGAAGATGTGTGGTGATTGCTAAAAGTTCACACTCTTAGATCTCATTCAGAGCTTCCCACTCAGTATGCAAGGGGAGGAAACTGGCAATTTTCACAAACATTCCAGGGAGAGCTTCTGCACACAAAGTTGGAGCAACTGCCCTCCTTTTCAGACGATTAGAGCTGGGCCCAGGTTCTTATAGTCGGTAAGGATGTGGGAGGTGAGTTCTTCAACTTCTACACTTCTGGGCATAAGGGTGTAGAAAACTAGACTTTTGGATGTAGGTCAAGAATGGAGGAAAACACGAGTTTATTTTCGAGTTTATTTTCGGCTAAATAAAGACAGAGGACATTTGTTAAGAATAGCTCTCATTCATCTCTCTGATCCACATGCTACATGCCTAGTCTGAATTGTAGAACCATAGCCAGGACACTGTCAGGCACATCTCACATCTGGGCCCTGCGTAATCTTTAAAATCAATGTCTTGGTAGACATAGTGGAAAATAAGCACTTTCGCATGTTCATGATGACCATTTCATGAATGGACTGGTAAGTTGACGGATGGTCTACTCCTTGTTTACCTTAGCTTCTAACCACCCCTAGGTAGAACCTACATTTTAATCCCCGTTACTTCTCCAGGACCCAGAAGATTCTTGACCCATGCTAGATGCTTAATGATTATTTGTTGAGTAACTAAATGAATGAACCGAAAGTATCAACAGAAAATGAGTTTCCAAATTAGTTTTTCTTGAAATCCCACATATAGAGAGAGACTAATTTCTTCAGCTATCTCTTCAGAGATGAACACTCACTTGTTATGCACTAGCCCAAAAGAAAATTCAAGGACTAATTCAACTGGAAAAAAGCAATAGATCCACTTAAAAGATTATTTGAATTAGATGAAATGGTATGTGCTTTAGATTAGGAAGACTTGGATTTAAACACTGTTATAGCTACCTTCCTACTGTGTCGTACAGGGTGGTACATTCATCTCTTCACGTTTCTTACTTTTTTGGTTGTATCTTGGTTGTTTTACAAAGTAAATGATTAATACAGGTATTTAGTGACATATTTATACGTGTATATTACATATACACAGATACATACACATGCACATATCTCATTCCTTTATAAATAAAATTCCTTATTTTAAAACTATTCTTTCTTTACTACTCACCTGAAAATGCATTATATTGTCTGAAGTTTGACTGTCCTAATTCAAATTTAACACTTATGGGGTGACTACTTTATATCAGATCCTGTCCTAGGTGGTTCCTCTGATTATGTCTATCTCCTGCATTTTTCATGACTTTAGAGGTAAGACAGCTCTCTTGTTTTATGGCTGAGAAAAGTGAGGTTGCTCTCCCATTCCTTTACATGTTGATACATTAAATTAACATAGCCACTCTTTAAAACCAAGTCCATATTCATGCTTTTCCCTCACTGCATCAGTACAATAAGCCAAGCTCAGAAGCATAGAAAATGGCTCCAAAGCACATTTTGAAAACATGTGCTTTTCTAACTAGGTTTTTAAGTTGCCTTGAGGATGTGACAGTTGCTTTGCCTGGTGAAATAGCACACGAACGTATGAAAGCAAGACCTTAAGGTGATTGGGTAGTGGTCTGCTCCACATTGAGCAGACCACCACCCAATCACCTTAATGATCTTCCCTATCAAGGGGAGTGTTTAAAAGGACTCAACCACAAGCAGCCAATGACCATTGCCTTGCTAGACTCTGGTGTGGCCATGTGCTCTTTGAGCTATGGCTGTCACCATGCTTCCTGGCTTTGGCCCCCTCTTCCACATTGGGGAGGTGAATCTTGTCTCTCCCATCTCTTTCTCTCTCTAATTTACCTTTAAGTAAACTTTTCTTTCTTAAAAAAAAAGAAAGAAAAAGAAAAGAAAGAAAGCAAGCCCTTTAGGCAGAAAGAGAGGACTATCAAAGTAAGATACCTCGAGTTCCTCACCCCCCCATCCACCCACACCCCTCCCATCAACCTGAAGCCTCCCCACCTTCCAACCCAGCCCTTAGCTGTCTTTTCAGAGTGGTGAAAATTGGCTCCCTCTCTGAAGAAACTCTGGGCTCGGTAGCTCAACCTATAATCCTGCGCTTTGGGAGGCTGAGGTGAGTGGACTGCCTGAGCCCGAGGGTTCGAGACCCACCTGGGCAACTTGGTGAGACCTCATCTCTACAATAAATCAAAAATTAGCCAGGTGTGGTAGCGCCCACCTGTAGTTCCAGCTACTTGGAAGGCTGAGGTGGAAGGACCGCCAGAGCCCAGCAGGTCGAGGTTATGGTGGCTGGGAGCAGCCACGGCACTCCAGTCTGGGTGACAGAGTGAGACACCAACTCAAAAAAAAAAGAAACTCCATAGCAATGACTTGTCATTCAGCCTCTCAGGGACTGTTTTGCAGTAAAATAACAGACAACTCCACAGTGGCCCCAACATTTCCTCCCTCTGCCCACCCCTTCCAGGGTAGTGCATGGTTGAATCAGAATTGCAACCCCTGAAGTTTGTCAGGCAAGAAGAACAAAGTCTTGTGTGGGTATAAGATCAGCTGGGAGTCAGAGGAGCTAGCTTGTCTGGGAGAATTCTTACTGAGAAGGAAGCAAGAAACGTCCTTAGGCCATCTTCTTGGCATCTCTGTCCCATCTGCAGCCCTGCTCCATCTCTTAGGAGCAAAGGGGAGAGACCTCCACAGAGAACCTAAGAAAGGGTAGACAACAAGCCAAGGGCTTAAGAATACCAGCTTCGCTTTTTTTTCTTTTTTTCCTGTGGCTCCAGTCCCTCTGGCCCAGAACAGCTGCTGTTTTCACTTTTTTTTTGGAGAGGAAAGCTAGCAGGAGACACTGAAAGTGATTTGTTCTCATTAGCTAGGCCTACAGGTGTGTGATTATTTGCAACCCAAATTCTTAGGGCCTCATGCTAGGATGAGGGCAGGGGCCCATTCCAGGTATCATCTCGTGAATCTAGTAGAGGTTGCAGATACAAGCTTCAAATGACTGTCCTATTGATGCATCTGGGAAGTTAGCTATTAAAAGCAGTAACATAACACAGGACACTGTTATTATAGATCGTACAAAGAAAAGCATTTGTACAACCTGCCTTCTTTTCTGCAAAGAACCTGTAAGTCCTTCTGGGTAATATAACCTCATATCAGCAGGTAAAGAAATAATGCATTTGTGAACCTTTGTTCAATTTTCAGGTAGAACAAACAATTGTCCAAAATACATGCCAGAAGGAACTGTGTCAGATATAGCCTCTAAGACTACAGGGCAACTGCTTGGATTGCAGAGATATAACATATTTCCTCTTGTGGGCTGTTGCAGTTAGGATATTAGTCTATGTCTCCTGTTAAATCATAGATAGAGCTGTTTTATGTGACCACTGTTAATACAGAATAGTTTAAGTGAGGGACCAGTTGGGAAAAAGAAATGAAAATATTGATATTGGGCAGTTTTATGAGAATGTAAATCAAATCCAGAGTTTGAGATCTGAAAGAAGTAAATTATTTATGGTATGAATTAACTTTGATACATTGTTCTTGATTCAACCTGCATGAATAGTTCAATTCTCCTGTTTTGTTTTATTTTATTTGCCAACAATAACATAGATGATATATGGTTTGACTTTACATTCTCAGTTACTTATACATTTGAATGCATTTTTAAAAACTGAAAGATTTTGCCATTATGCTATTGGCCAATTTGTGGGAGCTGAATAATATTTATCACTATTGTAGTCACATATAAAGTGATTTTTAAAAAAGCACCAGTTCATGAAAGGTGGATTATTTTGGTCTGTGATAGTTCTTGGGTATGCTTCTTTAATTTGGGCTTCCCTAAAAAATAAAAAAAACACCTAAGAATACTTTTTCTTCGAAACTGTAGCTAGTTTCAATGAAATACCTTTCTTTTTTACTTAATGTCAACAATATAAATTTGAAAAGACTTCTGATGGGGAAAACAATCCTTCTTGTGTATACAGTTTAACTAATCAATTATAGATCATCTGATTTTAGTCATTTACTACTTGTGGCGTGAATGCCTTCTAACCAAAAGTTGATGACAGCCTGTGTTTTAATTTTCTATGAGACTTACTGGAAGCCAACTGTCATTAAGGATGTGCTAGTTTGTCAATATTGAGTCAAGAAACAATTAAACTCCATGAAAACATTCTTACTATAATCTGTTCCACTATACTACACAGGGAAACGAGAACAAATAATTTAGCATCCCCCAAAATAAATTTCTTACCAGAAGAAAAAGAGGATGAAAGTGTGTTCCTCAGTCTTTGGTTGAATGTGAGAATTACCATGACAATCAGCTGTTAGTCACGCTGTGTTATAATTGTGTTCTTGCCAGCCTGCTGCCAGTTAACACTCTTTGAAGTGAAGGACTATAGCCCAATCACCTAGCTTTGCAAGTAGATACTCAGAAAATATATATTGACTAAATGAAGAAATGAATGAACCGTAGTACCTTATATTTAGGACATTTAAGTATTTTGATTTGTTCTTTAATACTTTCAGTTTCAGTTATCACACTAAATGTTTACAGCTTATGGATTGGCTGAAAAATGCCACCTATTCCACTTGTCTACCTTAATTTTATCAACAGTAGCCATATGGGTACATAGCTTCAATGTTATTGTGAAATTTAGTAGGTGATTCTGTGCCAAGTGTTTTGAAATCTGCAGGTGAAAAACATATTTTAGCACAAATACATATAGAAATGATGAATGGTTATCTGGGGGAAAAAAAATACCAGATCCTTGAACTACCAGGGACATGTTATTGGTTTTACATGTGGCTCTAAGCTGAAATTGTGTTATATGCCCACTCCTAAACCGGTCACTAAAAAGAAATGGAATTGCCAAGATTGGCTTACATTATTCAAGATTCACTACCTTGGGCTCAGGAGAAATCCAGCTTCCCTTGCTTTTCCAAGCTGCCTGATACCTGAAGAAAATTAGAGCTGTTAATTTATCAGTAATAATTATATTCAATTGTAAATGAGAAGAAACTCAAAATAACAGTGACTGTTTTGTTTTGCTCTCACATAGATGTTGGTATACAGTACAGCTCCATGACATCATTAGGACCAAGATTGTCCTATTTTTCTGCCCACATATACTTAGCATGTGACTTCCATCATCAAGGTAGCTCCAGCCATGTCTCAGGCAGGAAAATAATTAAAAAGGATGAGTCCCCTTCTTCTTAGAGATTTCCTGTAAGCCCAAGAAAATAGTCTGCATTTATCTGATTGGCCAGAACTTTGTCACATGGGGACACATAGCTACAAGAGAGGTTGAGAAATGTAGTCGGATCTGCCCAGCAAAAACAATTTGGGGTTTTTACTGAGGAAGAAGGAGAGAAAGGATGTTGGAGTAACCAATGATCAGACACTTTAGCAATGAAAAATGATGGCATAAGCGAAGACATCAAGGATGAAAGCAGGACATATAGGGAACAATGAACTGTTCCCATTCTCAACCACTCAACTATCTCTACCGCCAGTAATTTTAAGCAGTGAAATAGACAGCAAAGGAATAGGAAGGAGAGGCAAAGGACATTGTAAATCAGCCAAGTGTAGGAACTGTATACAGATAATTAGGATCGAGCTTTGCACTATATAATTTTTTAGCCTTCTTGGAGTACTTTACATATGAAAGGATATTATTTTCCACATATGGAAATGTGAAAGTCAAGGTATGAATGATCTTTTAAGTCTAACCTTCTTAATTAGCAACAAGGTCACCTTTGGAGAAAGCAAAATATTACCTAGAAGGATAGGTTTATTATGAAAAGAACCAGATCCTCTAAAAGCCGAGGAAAGAGGCAAATGAGGAGCTAATTAGGTCCAATACACCGTGGGAAACTTATTGGTAAATTAGAGTCTGTGCATATAAAGTCTTATTATTATAAATGGCAACTTTTTTCTTTATTTTTAAAGGTAGCCAACCAAGTTGTTCAAGCTCTGCTCACTCAAAAGGTAGGTCACTTTCTCACTTTGTTCTTTTCAAGGTACTTAGGTGACTAGATTGGAACTCATGTTGTCACGCTAGGAAATTGTGATTGATAGAGGCAATACTTTTACATTTATTCACTTAGGTGAAAACTGTGTGTGTTTTATATGCCATATGAAGTAACATCAATGACCAATAGAATCGTAAAACTCAAACTCTTGATAAAGTAATAGCCTTTTGAAGATGAAAGATTTTCATATACCCAGATGAGTAGCAAACTCATCCATTTTATTTAGTAAATACAAACTTTAAATAAGTTGGTTGACTCTTTCAATTCCTAGTAAATGAATGTCTTCTTTTGAACAGTATTAACCAAAGTCTAAAATTCAGCAAGGGCATCTTCGGAGTTAGAGAAGTGATTTAATTTTGCTGAGCCTTAGTCACTCTTCTATAAAATGGAGATAACAATTCCCACCTGCCAGGATTGTTGTGGCGATCCTATGAAAGGAAGAATCTAAAGCAGTTACTCTTGGAGTCAGTTTGTGGTCAACAGAAAATAATGGTAACTACTTTGCATGACATTCCATTCCTCCTCCTTTGCTATCTCCTTTGCTATGTAGCTTCAGACAATGTAAGATCACGTTATTGAGGCACAGAGGGTAAATGAAGGACACTTTTGCCCAAATTTGTCTGTTTTTGTGAATATTCTTGAGTGTTTTCCATCTCTTGCCATAATGTTCCTGGGAGCTAAATTCTAGGTCCCTCAGATTTTGTTTGCTATGATCTCTCTTTCTTTGTAATGGACACTTCCTCTCCAAGAGGAAATCTTAGTTCATGTGACACATTCAGAAGGATGTGACTAATGAGAACAAAATAATTTATGCCATTCTGATTTTTTAATTGCTAATAATTTTATTAGAGATGGCATCTCACGGGGATAAATAAATATTATTTTTAATTTACGTAGGCATTGTGATAATATTTTTGTACACTTTGTCCCTTACTACTTCTATTTTTTTTTTGTTTGTTTGTTAGTTTGTTTTTGTGGGTTTTTTTGAGTTGTAGTCTCACTCTGTCACCAAGGCTGGAGTACAGTGGCACATTCATGGCCACCCCAGTGTCTACCTGCTGGGCTCAGGCAATCCTTCCACCTCAGCCTTCCAAGTAGCTGGAACTACAGGCATGTGCCACCACACCCAGCTAATTTTTTGATTTATTGTAGAGATGAGGTCTCGCCAAGTTGCCTAGGTTGGTCTCAAACCCCTGGGCTCTTGCAATCCTCTCACCTCAGCCTCTCAAAGTGCTGGATTATAGGCGTGAGCCACCATGCCCCACCTACATCTGTTAAAATGCCATGGTTTTTTTTCTACAAATAATTTTAACTCCTTTGATTTTCATACTAACATTATATAAACAAAGAAGTTTGAGTACACTTATGTAGAGCTAGAGAATTAGGTCTCATTGTCACAGGGGTCCAAAATAGGGTGGCTTAAATACACTAAAATGCTAGTTCTTTCCCACATATAGATCAACAGGTAGACAGTACAGGACTGGTATGGTAGCTTTGCTCCCTGAAGTCCATGGGATCTCTAGCTTCTATCTTGTTATTCTATGGAAAGTGGCCACTCTTTCCAAGGTCACCTCATGGTCCCACAATCACTGCTCCAGCTTTGATCATCACAGCCACATTTCAGCCATCAGGAAGGAAAACAACTGAAGAATATAAAGAGGGTAAAGGACACACTGCAGCTGTTGTTTAAAGGAAACTTCCAAAAACTTTTGTACCTCCCCGCTTACATCTTCTTGAACAGACCTTAGCCACACACCTAACGAGGCTGGCAAAGCTGTCTTTGTTCTGGGGTTATGCCCAGCTGAAAATTGATTGTCACATTACTGTGGAAGGAGAGAAACATATCGGAGGGCGGCTCGCGATTTCTGTACAACTTTCTGGAATGCCTTTTCTTTTTCTAAAGCTTTACTTTCTCAGTTGTTTTTCTCCTGTTGGAAACTCTATGCTGACTTAATTACAAACCTAAGGAATGAGGGGAGTGTGCAACTGTTGAAAGACTTCTCGTGCCTGTCTTTGTTAATAGTGCCTCGGGAAAGAGACAAGGAAGCTATCTGGTACAATAAACAGGAAAACGGGACCCTTCAGGTCAGTCACACACACACACACACACACACACACACACACACACACACACACACACACAAATAGCTATACAAATCCAAGTAATAACTAGTAAACAGATAAATCTACCTTGGTACAGTTAAGCAGTAAGACATAGAAAGACATGCTACTGTGAGATAGCATACCTCAGGGACGCCACGAGGCCTGAAGAGATGCCAGGGACTTTTGGAGATTCCAAAAGAATCATGTTCTGTGGAATGTGTGCCTCCTGCTTTTTATGGGGATTGTAAAATGGCTGCAAACAGACTAAAATTTCCCTTTAATTAAGAGCACAATATACGAAATAAAATGTAGTCCAAATGCAGATGAGAAAACTAATTCTAAAGAGTGGTATAGGTGGCACAGAGTAACAATAGAAGTCTTGAATGATTTATTCACATCACAAAACAATCCTTGAGGCAAAATTATAGGCATAACTGTGCAGTTTTAGAATACATCATTAGTTATGACACAAAGGCAAATCTGTTAGGTGGTTTCAGTTCTTCACTGAGAAACCAAGAAAGCACTTTTCATGGCATATCATGAATTGGTCTAGACAGACATCCTGAAGTAACAGAGTCCACCAATGCTGATAGAAAAAAAATTTTCATAAACTTATCGGTTTCTGTTAAGTGTACTAATGTACATATACTATCCTAGCCAAGTAATTTAGTTTCTCTCAAAAATCTGTGAATTCCCTTAACAGAATAGACTGTACCCTTTTAGATCAGTAATGCTGAAGTGACCATATTAAGCCCAACACTCTTCCTTTTAGGCCTCCAAATCATATGCTCAAGTCTGCAAGTGCAAGTGAAGCAATAAATCAGGCTAAACACGTATTTTTATCTAATACACACACACACACACACACACACACACACATATACAGGGATGCCAAAAAATATATGCACATTTTTAAGTATGACACTCGCTTAAAAGATGCTGTTAATCAAATGAATACTAGTGTCACCATGTGACAGGCAGGACAAAGAAAATGGTGGAAGCTCGGTTGAGTGAATGACATACTACATATTGCTACTGTGATATAATTCAACTTTGAAAAGTAATACTTCAAAAAGTAATACATGGATAACATCTCTTAAAATGTATATACACACACACACACTCAGGCTAAACTTGTATTTTTTCCTTAAAAATATATATACATATATATATTTACATATATATATATTTGAGTCAGGGTCTCACTGTTGCCTAGGCTGGAAGTGCACTGGCACTAACACTGCAGCCTTGACCTCCTGGGCTCAGGCAAACCTTCTACCTCAACCTCCCAAGTAACTGGGATCACAGGCACACACCACCATGCCTGGCTAATTTGTTTTTTATTTTTTGAGGAGATGAGGTCTCACTATGTCACCCAAGCTAGTCTCAAACTACTGGGCTCAAACAATCCTCCTGCCTTGGCCTCCCAAAGTGCTGGGATCCCAGGCATGAGCCATTGCACCCAGTCTTTTATTTTTATCTTTATTAACTTAGTTACTCTGCAGAAAATGTATCTCTCATAGGTACTTCAGGGGTGTGTGTGTGTGTGTGTGTGTGTGTGTGTGTGTGTGTGTGTGAGAGAGAGAGAGAGAGAGAGAAAAGGCTGGCATATGGTAGAATCCAGCAGTGCAGCTGTTCAGGTAGAAACAGAAAACAATTTTGTAACTTGTAACTGAAAGACCCCCAAACTCTTACATATATCCCTGGTAGAAGGAGGAGCTGGACCATCTGTGTCTACTCCTCTAGTCTATATAAAATCTGGTTCCTAAAGAGGATCTGTTTATATTTACTGGACATTTACAAGCAGTCAGACCCCATGTCTAGCACTTTAAGTTTGCTAAGTCACTCTGTTCTTGTAGCAGCCTTGGGAGACAGGACTAAGAAGTAATTTGCCCATGGTTTGCTAGGCAGTGGCAGAACCTATGCTGTGGCTGTTGCATTGCAAACCCCATGCTGTGACCCACTGGCCCATTTTGCCTTGGTGATATCATTCTGTCACTTACTGTTGTTCTCCTGATGACAGGAAATGAAACAAAAGGGCAAGGTAGCCTAGGAACTTCTTAAAATTTCTGGAAGCATCGCCAATCTTCTCTAGTAAAAAGAATATTCAGTCTCTAGCATGTGTGTAAAGTCAAACTGTAAATTTGGAGTTAAGCTTTCTCAGAAGCACTCTTAATTTGAATCCTCAAATTATACAATTGCCAGGGACCTTAGCAGGCATTTCATCCTAAGATTGTCAGCTAGCTTTAATAATGGGCTCCATTCATAGTGATTTCATGAATGGTTTAGCCATCACCCAGATTACAAATAGGCTTAATGTGAAGCCCTTTTGCAGTCAGCACGCCAAGTACACTTGTTCCTTCTGTGGCAAAACCAAGATGAACAGACAAGCTGTGGACACCTGGCACTGTGGCTCCTACATGAAAATAGTAGCTGGTGGAGCCTGGCCCTACAATACCACTTCTGCTGTCATAGTAATTCTACCATCAGAAGACTGAAGGAATTGAAAGACCAGTAGAAGCTCCATCATTGGAGATATCACTAGCCTATAATAAATGACTTAATTTATGTAAAAAAAAAAAAAAAAAAAAGACGTGCAGCATTCAGTCTGCCACAGGACTCACCACTTCCTATGTATTTTCTTGATTTAGCCATATATTTATGTCACCTGTCTTGCCTTTTAGGTATTTGATGTTGAAACACTTGGTCAATGTGAGATATAACCAGCCTTTTCCAGAAATGGCTTTTCTTTTTACAAAAGTCTTCGCATTTGGGGCAGAAATAAGAGTGTATCAGTGATAACCACTTAGAAGGGATATGACAAGAAGAAACTGGTAGATTTGGTGACCAAGCTTCAGGGAAGGAGCAAGATGACACTGGTTAAGCTATCCCATCAAGCAAATGAGCCATCTGATCTCTTGAAGAGCCTGATCTCTTGTACCATACCTTAGTTTGCAGCTGAAGAAATTGAGGCTTAATAAGAAGAAATCACTTCTTCAAGGTCATGTGGATAATGAGAACCAGAGCCCAGATCCCCTAAACCCCAATCCAATGTACTAGACACTGCCTTTGAAATAGTTATACCATTGAAATATCATTCCATGACGGAATCAGATTTAAATAGTTTTCAACACTAATATCAATATCTGTCTTTCTAAGCAATCATTATTTTCTTAAATTTACTTCATCTTGGAGCTGACAATGATTTTTATTCTTGAGTACCTAAAGTAACTGTACTCCTGTAGGTACTATGTAACAGTGGGTCCAGAACCTTCCTTAGCCCAGTATAAGTGAAACTTACCAGGATTATAGTGTGTGACTCCTCCAGGGATGTTATGCTTTGGGATCGTTAAGACGGACAGGAACCCTTCAGGCCCGTATGTCACATTGCTCAGCATATTTTGCCCTCACCCTCAGCTGTTATCCCTTAGTCTCTGTTTCCAATTGATAGTGACATGCACATTGCAAGGAAAATGGGTCTGCCTATATTCTTGAACCCAAACACCACTGTCCTTTTTCTTTTTTACTTGAGGTTAAATGCTGTCAGATCACTGGTATTATTTCACCATGATAAAATTATATGTCACACTTCCTTTTCTTTTTTTTTTTAAATCAATATTTTTTATTATGATGTTATGGGGTACAGTTAAGGATTAGGTATACAAATATGCTTCATTTAGGCCCCCTTGTTGATAACAGGTGTCTACACTCCCTTTTTCTCATCAGAAGACACAATGCTGTCAGTGGGGTCCTTTTCTTGAGACCGATATATACTAGAAAGTTTTTTTTAAAAAAGGATTGTGAGAGAGGACAGACAGGCCAACCCCTCCTCTGAGCCTTCATTCCAGACTATGACATCTGCACAGACGAAAGTTCTTTTGTTTCTAAAGCCTTACTTGGAGAGGCTATTCTAGGTCCTGCCTCTGCAACTGGCAGGGTCAGAATAACTATTCTTGTACTCAGCCTAACTGTGTCATGCACTCCTTAATGTCAGTGAGTTCCCATCATGAGCATAAAGGAAGTGGAGACAACTGGCTGTCCTCCTCTGTCCAGGTACCACAACAGCGGTCAGAGAAACAGTTGTTTTTCTCTTGTCTATCCAGTCTAATTGGGCTTATGTGTGTGCACATGGACACATATGCATGTTTTCTTTACTGTAGTTTCTTGGGAAGGCAACTGGCTGGCATCAGTGACCATCCATAGCTTGACTGAAGAGAATAAGAAAATTAAAAACAACACAAGGAATTCTTTTCTATCTACAAAGTTTCAGACCACCTCATTTCTGCTTGTCAATGATCATAAGACGAGTGTCACGTTCCTAAAGCCCTCTACCTCCTCTTCTGCCTGGTGCTGAGCAGGATGAACCACTAGTGTTGAGCAAAGAGTTCTCAGGGTCGATACCTTGTGTTCCTGCTAATGAACTTTTACCTTAAATAATAGTAATGGCCTTTGAAATTTGGGCACTTGTATAAAAACTCTCTATAGAGTATATTGATTTTTTCCCCTTTTGTTCTCTCTTTTTATTTATTTATTTTTCACGCGTCTGAAGAACTCTTTCAAGTTATTCTCAGTTCTGCTGCTAAAAACTTGTGGTTACTATTCTTTTCAGGTCCCCTTTTTCCTTGAAAATTCACACTTGTTTGCTTCTATTTCCGTATCTCCATGTTGCAAGTAAGAATGATTGTGTTTTCCCACCCAATAGGCACTATTCATATTTATCTGCCTCACAGTCAAGTTTTATTAATTACTTAATTAGCAGTACTAAAAACAATTAGTGTTTGGGAGCAGAGAGTGTTATATACATGCTAAAAACAAAAATCGGCACAAGTGAGACACAAACAGAGGTTGAATTCTAAATAAAGAAAGCAAATCTAGCCTTTTCATTTGAGCAGTAAGTAGCTCCCCACTATGGCCTCGGCCAAGTGGCACGTGTGCCCCTGAGTACAAATCAACACTCCTGCTCCTACCCTCCTGGGTCTTGTATCCATGTGTCTCATTCTGAACATGGTATTTCTCTGCTCTGCCTGCATAGACACCAATCCATTGAAAGCATCCTATGGATAAGCTTTACCCATTTAGCTAAAAACGTTGAGGAGAGTCTATACTGTGCAGTGGATCACACCTTGGCCTACTTCTTTGCCTCTTTTGAATAGAATTAATACTGCCAGGTATGATGACACATGCTAGCATATGACCTCAGAGAAGGCTTTACTAGAGAGCTATAGCTTCACAATTGGGTTGATAAAAGGTTAGGAAACAAGTCCACTCGCCTCTGCGACCCTATTTAGGCCCCGGGGAGCAGAATTGTTGGCTCATGCCAACAATGTAGGTCTACAGACTAGAAGTGTTGAGAAATTAAACTCTATCACACCGGTCACTAGAGAATAGAATTCATCATCATCTTCTCCTTTAGGAAATAATTGTAAATGTTTATTAAGGCTCCTACTATATGTGGCACTGTATTAAGTAATGGAATAAAAAAGTGTAAAAGAACATGTTTGCGTGGCTTTTTATTTTGATGTCATCTTGTGCTTGCCTGGTGAGAAATGTGCCATCTAATTGAATCATCTAGAACACAAAAGATACACGAATACAAAGTGGTATATGCTAAATGTCACAGAGGAAGTCTTGAGGGCTGATTGGAGTTCAGAAAAGGGAGCAGGCCTTGCGGGTTGCCAGGCAAAGAGTCAGAGAGGTGATGAAATTTGAACTGAACTTCAATCCAAAGGCCAACATGGACTGGAAGAAGGAGGTGGATAAGAAGGAGAAGTGGTAGTGCAGAAGGCAAGAGGTGGCAGGAATGCATAGAGCTTTCAAGAACAGCAAGCCAGATGTTTATTCTCTGCACAGTGAGAACAAAAGACTTTCTCTTTTTTTTGCAATGAAGAAATAGTGAAAGAGAAAGTTTGAAATGTAGAAAAGCGTCAGCGTTTGAAGAGCCTTGAATTTGGATTTTATTCTACTGGGCTTGTCTTGAACCCCATCAAAGAAGACGTAGACAGTTAAGTGCCACAAGTAGCTTTTTCATGGCCAGTTTGGCAGGCAATTCCCACGTGCTAGCCCCGCCATGAGCTGGGGGAGAAGGTCTCTGTGGTGTTTGAACTATTCCAAAGAGCTATTCCAAAAGCACGCCAGGGTGGGGTCACTGTGCTGCTTCCCAGCGCTGAGACCAGAATGCCCCAGAAGATATGGAAATGCATAAGTTCAGAGGACGGGCAGGCTATAAGTGGCCTTTTGAAAGCCTTCACTTCAGATGTGCTTCTCTCCCCCTAAATGCATCACTGACTCTGTTAGCCACCGCGCTGAGAATTTCAACTCATTTCCACAAATGACAATGAAAGGCTCCGTCCAAAGTGATAGTTTCTTTAGTTCATCAAATCTCTATTCACTACAGAAACATTGTTGTCCTTGTGGTTTGCGCTTTATGATTGCTTTTATGAAGACAGTGAAAAGGCAAAATATATAGGTAGAAACTTAAATTGACTTTATATCGCTAAGATTTACTGTCTTCAAAAATAGCCTGCTAGATTAATGCATTTCTGATTTCAAGGTGCTTTTTTTTTTTTTAAATTGGTCTTCCCTGCACATAATCATTCTATCAGACAATGGTCTGAGGAAGAAAATGTGTGTGATTTATTTCTGGGGACTTTGGAGAATAAAAATACTATTTTTAACTAATGTGTCTGGGATATATAAAATATGGTTATAATATGCAAAGATGTCTTTCAGACTTGTACTTTTTCTCCCCTCCAATGTGCTTGTTGTAGGATCTGAGGGAGGAATGTGTGAAGTTGAAAACAAGAGTGTTTGATTTGGAGCAACAGAATCGAACGTTAAGCATCCTGTTCCAACAGCGAGTCAGACCCACTTCCGATCTGCTCCTCCAGGTTTGTGTTCATCTGGAAAACAATCTTTGCTACCAAAATGCTATTGACAGGTCACCTAAATTCAGAAGTTAGCAGCATCTTCATGGATAAGGCATGTGACATCAGAGCCCCAATTCTTTTCTCTCTCAAGTGATGTCATTAAACTTGAATGTGTCTTAAATTCTTGATGTTTTAAAGTTACATGCAGATAAGGAAATGTACCAACAAAGAATAAACAGGTAAAAGGGACAATCAGAAGACATCTTCTAGTAAACGAGGTGGAGCCACGGAGTGGAATGAGGAAATAATTGATTGCTCTGGGAACCAGTATTAGTAATCTTGTATCTGTGATAAGCAAGGAGGGGTTTTATGTAATACCAAAGCATGTTTCTATATTTCAAACTCCTTATGATCAAAAATACAAGTTGTTTTTCTTTCATATCTCTCTCTATACAGAGTTTCTCCTCACAACACAACACTTCCCATATTCTATCTCAGTATTTTTACATTGTCTTTGTCTAAGTGCTCTCACTGAACTCTTTTTCTACTTGCCTTCATAGCATGGAAAGTTGTGGAAAGCCACACCATTTGAATCAATTTGAAGCTGTTCCTGACAAAGCACTAGAGAATATATCCCACTGCAGGGAAACACATGAATTGGTAGAGGAGCCGGAGGGTTGACCTTTGCTGTTTCTGATTCTTTTGATCCTGTTAATGTGTATATTTGCTCAAACAAGCTCCCATGAGCTTTGCTCCGAGCCCTTCTGAGGCTCAGTTGTCAAAAGCGGCATTGAGGTTTCATAGGGACGATGTACAATCTACAAAGGGTAACCCATTACTGCCTGGTCTGATTGGCTTAGAGGGAGGTCCTTCTCCAGCTTCTGATCATCTAGACTACACTGTCCAGCACTGTAACCACTAGCCATGTCAGGCGATTTAAATTTTAATTGTAAAAATTTAAGTTAAATTTAAAGTAAGTTCCTTTGTCCAACTAGCCACCTGGCCAGTGGCTGCTTTAGTAGATAATGTATATGTAGAATGTTTCCATAATGGTAGAAAGCTCTACTGAACACTCTTTTTCCAAATGGTTGAGACTGTGTTGCTAATTTACCCTCTGAATGTTGGCATAAACATCTTAGGACTCCTCAGAGAAATAATAGGAAATTGCAATTCATTTCAGAGAAAGAAAGATGTTTGGTAAAGCTGAACATCAAAATGTAATTTGCCCCCCAAATTAAAATAAAACAGCTCTCTGAATTATAAAAGAGATCTCATCTCTTAAATTAATTTCCGCTGTGCTTTATCTGTGGAACATAATTCATAATTTATGACTCAGAATTGTGGGGGAGAGGGATGCCATCTATCTCTATTCTGTTTTCTGGTCCTGACCACCATAAATGTCTTGTTATGGGAGATCTTACATTTGTAAAAAGTTGTGCTTCTTTCGCAACCACAGAATCAAGTTCCAATATTATAATTACTTGTAAAAGCTGTTGCATGTTCATGAATTTTTTGCCTGTTTGAACTTGAGGCTTTTCTGAAACAATGTTTAAGGATCTGTGTCCTTGTTTATGAGTCATGATCATTTATTTCCACAGTGAACATATGTACTGTAACTATTTCAGCTTCTTTCATTGGCTGTCACAAATTTCTTAAATCCGTATCCAAATGGTCCAGGATAATGTGGATGCTAACAATAGAACTCAGTGTTTACTCATTTGGTATTTTTGCCAACATGCTTCATATTTTCCCCCAAATAGTCCTGGTGTTCAGGAGCCATTCTAATTTAAATAATATTTTTAAAGGATGGGCTGTTAATAGTTCTGTGAAGAATAATGATAGAGAGTGTGATGCCTGCCCTGTATATCTAGAGCTCACAATCATAAAGGAAGTTGCTGGCTTTTCAGGTGGTCTATTAATTATTTCACTCCTCACTTTTTATTTCCTGCTGGTACTTTTGGGTTTAATTGAGAGACAATATACATACTTTGGACCTAAAATAAAAGAGACTGGGTGTTGTATTAAATGTAGAGGGATTCTGTGTGCAAACTGCTCATCAAATTGTTTTAACTTCTTGTTTCATTGTTAAGAAAAACAATAATAGAAGACTCCAATAATAGGATTTCTAGGGAAAGAAGCAAACTTGAACCTACCAAAAATGTTAATTAACAAATACATAGTGCTTGCCATGTGTTAGGTACTATTTTATAGTGCTCACCAGTATAATCTCGACCCCAGTCCTATGTGGGTAGGACTTATCATTACATCCATTTTACTAATGGGGACACTTTGGCATAGAGAGACTAAGTCCCACAGTTGGTATTTGACAGAGCAAGGTTTTAAGTCTGAAAATCTCTCAAAACCAAGTCCTGCCTTTCACTTCCATTTGGTGGTCTCTCTGCATGGGACATGGATGGTGGGCAAGGGGACCATTTTTCTGGTTGCCCACTCTTAGTGACAGTTTGATTAACTGGCCCACCTGTTATCGAATCAGATTGGGGGCCTTTACAGTACAATCCAAATAAGGAGCCTACCATATAAACACAGTTCTAAAATGTGGCATCTAAAATTTTTCCCCTCCTAGTGTGTTCTGCTTTTGTCTTATTTTGGACACCTGTGTTATCATTATCTTGATAGGACATTATCCTCATGTTTTCAGCCTAAGATAGTTTTTTTTACTTTTCTTTTTTATTTGATATTTCAAAGGGTCCTACTACCCATATCCTTAGGCCAAGAAAGGAAGAAAATAATGTTATAGTGTAGATTATTCACATAAACAGTGAGAGTCTGACAGCTTAGAACCAAGGTGCAAAAATTTGCTGTCACTTCTTAGAGTACTGACTTTTTTGTTTTTGCTAGTGTTGTATATTATTATTCTAGATAAGATGAGAGGATTTTTAATTTCTACTCATTCCTCTGATTTATTTTTTTCTCCTCTAAGTCTTTATTTTTAGAGTGTAGATCTATCCATGAGTCTGATTTGTCAGGACACTGCACACTCATCTCCTCACCTGTCTGTAAGCAGTGTGTTCCGCTCTGAGATTTAGCTCAATGCTGCTACTTTCAGGGGCTCTCTGGGATCCTGGCAGTCCTCATTGATGCTTCTCATTGCTGGAGTCCATGTAATATCCCATGTGTGGCATATGGCCTATGCCACACAAATAGTTCATGGTCCTTTGTAGAATTATGGTATCCCACCCAACATAGCAGTGCGGTAATCAAGGCAACCCAAGTAACTAGAGATTTCTAGTTAACTTTTCATTTCAATTCAGTGGTGATCTCTTTGAGGACAAAAACTACAATGAACGTTGCTTTTCACCCTTCCACAGATGCTATCACCGTTTGTAATGCATGTTAACTGCAAACTTATTGATGGTTTTATACTTAATTACATACTTTTTATCTGGAATTTATCTGGAGAGGAACCATGCCTCCTTCTGTCCACTTATGTATATTTTTGTATCAACCCCCTAGGTGTCCAATTCACATTTTTTCAATTCTTCTATTTACTTAGCAGAAATATTTAAGCATTTATACTCTTTACCACCTCAGAACTTGTCACTGTGTGATGAGCACAGTCACACAGAACTAAACAGAACTGAACAATCAAGTGAACAACCAACACAGAATTATCTTCTCTAAGATATTTGGTCATCTGGAGAAACTAGAAAATGTCAGCCATATTATACATTTTTAAATATATGTATCATGCTTTTTAAAAACATCAGCCTTTTGAGTACTTTCAAATATATGTAGTTGAAGCGAAACAAAAAAATGAAAAGAAGAAGAAAACATTAAGAGGGCACCCTTCGGTGGGAACAATAAAGGAGGAATAGGTGAATGAGGGAAGAGGAGAGTAAAGGATGGCAGTCCTTCATTCTGATCCACTGAGGCTTCTCTTGAGCCACCAGTAAGGAATCAGGAGAAGAGACAAGAACATCAACTTAAGTTTAAAGCATCTACCTGGATTCCCATGCCACTGGGTTGTAAGCTTGCCTTACGAGTTTCTGGAATGGACTAGCTCTGCCCCTCACCCGCTGTATGCCAGCCATGGAGGTGTCTCTAGCTGTGCTCTGCCCTACACACCTGATGTCTAATTTAGAAAGACCCACAGGGTGACAGGAGGAGCATCCCAGTGATGCTTCAGAGATGCTAAGAAACGACAGGAGCAGATGGGTGAGTATCCACTGACAGTGAATCTGCTGATCTGCATCATCAGAGGATGTTGGTGGCTTCATTATGGGCATTGGTCAGACATGAAAACATATGGAGAATGTGCATTAAGGAGTCTCTGTCTTGCACTCGGCACTGGAGAGGATCTTAACTTGTCAGAAGTGCAGAAAGTGGCCCCTCTGAGAGGAAAGGGACACTTTGAAAGATCACATGGCTCCTGCAGGGCAGGAATTTTGGTGATGAGGTGGAACACGTGAGGTTGGTTTGGGATCAAGTTAGAGCCGCACAGTAGATGAGAAAGAATGGTCAGGGTTAAGGCAAGATGTGATTTTTCCCTCTGCTACAGACTCGCTTCACTTTCAGCAGCCTCATTTTTCTTTTTATCCTGCCACAAATTCTTTACTCCAGTCAAGCAGAAATACGTTCACTCCACAGAGCAGGACATAGGTTTCCCTTCAAGTGTTGCACTTTGTATGTCATTTCTCTGTTCAAAATGCTACTCCACCCCCTCCTGCCCCATCCTTGCCACTCCTCTTCATTCGATTATCAAATTGAGAGCACCCAAGGTATGTTAGTGCTGAGGTGTCAGTGATGGAATGCATTTCCTCAGGAGCCTGTCATCTATAATTAAGTCTGAAAGCTAAATCATGTGTTAAGAGGCATGTGGGATGTTATAGGGACTGGGCCAAGATGGGTGGAGGCAAGTGGGGACCTAACTCTGCATGTAGGGGGCCTTGGAGAGGAAACCATGCCCCGATGTGAGTCTAGGTGGACAAGGGCAAGTATAAATGCCTGTCAAAAGGAGCTCCCTGTGCCAAGGCATGAGAAAGCCTCTCTCCTTCCAATCC